GTAGATATTCATGAGGTCCAGGTAGGAGAAATCTGGACCCTTCTTCGGCCGACGCCTTCTCTTCGGGGCGGTCCCCTTAACGGCAGAAACAGGCTTCGGGCAGGGAATCGTGGCTGAAGTAGATGCTCCGTCCATGGCGCGGGAAACCCCTACGTCCTCACCTTCTGACGACGAGGCGGCCTCTTCGTCCTGGTTCTCCTCACCCTCTTGCTCCCCTGACTTGAAGGAGCTCAGCTCTTCTATCTCCTCACAGCACTCCTCTACTACCCGGTAGTCAAGGAATTTGACGGAGGCCTCATCGTCATATGGGTAGTATTCATCATCCAAAGGTTTCATCATAACGACTAACTAAGGCCCAAGAGAGACTACTTAAGATCTAAAGGTGGTTTTTCACTAACACTAGATCAGAGCCCTAGGGATGCAAAATATGTAAAAAGGAGGAGAAAAGATTGATGAACTGATCTTTGAAGTTATGAAGTTTTGAAGAACGCTCGAACAACCTTTATCTTTCTAGAAATTTGGACAGCGCTTCGATATCTCAGAACGCAATAGGGAGTTCCTTCGGATGGAGGGGGGTATTTATAGACCTCCCCCCAATGGTCACTACACGTGGTGCTCCCCCATTGGCCAAACGAACGGCCACCACTCCCAAGGCCCATTGGGCTGGCACCGGTTCAGAAGATGGGTGAGGCCCACTTCCATCAGTACCAGTCCATCGCCAACATACCAGTAATCATCATCCATAACGGCCAGACATTCAACGGCCATCCCAAGCGGAAATATTTGCCCCCACAGGGCACGGCTGTAACGGCCTTAGCAGTCAATCTCTCCAAACAGCTGGTCACACCACAGTGTACTCATATCGGCTTAACATACCGCAATCAACATGGCCCCTTCAACGGCCACAACAGCAAAGCACAAAACAACCCAACGGCCATTGACCTTGTAAAATCCCCTGATGATAACTCCTTGAAAGCGACCTACATCCAAGGGTTCTCCCACAGGGTTACCTTGGTCAGGAAATCGCCAAGGGATTGGATTCAAGGGAATACAAGTGTCCCGCTTCGGCCTAGGGTTACACCTTACTCCTTCACCCCTCACTCCCTCTTCGGCCTGAAGCAGTGGGGGACTGGGGGACTACACCGGCCTCCGGAATACAAGAAAGGACAAATTCAAAGAAATCCAAAAAAAATACCAAGTCCACAAATACAGCATCAGGACATAAATGCACCAGAACATCCATGTCTTGTGGAGCACCTTCGGCCTCAACAAAATCGGCAAATAAAGAACTATATCTCTTCCCAAAACGTGGCGCGTATCATCTCTAAAACGCGCGCCACTCAACGGCCTTCAGATCACATACTCCACTCTCGGCCAGGAAATTAAAAAAGGAACCCAACGTCCTCAGATCACCATCGTCCATGGAACCAGGATACGCAGTACTCCTTCCGGATCAGTAACGCTATCATCCTCGAAGTGGGCACTAAAACTATGCATACCACCGCTTCGGTCTGTGGCCCAAAAGCGATCATTTGGCCTCCTCGGCCAGAACACCAAAAGCAACTGCCAGCGACCAGAAAGGAGAAACATCACCCACATCGGACCAAGAGCTCACATCGGCCATTGAGCCAGGGCACTCATCGTCCTCAAGCGAACTTACCCCCCTCAAAGGAACATCAGCCCCCTTCGTCCACAGTGAAGGCCATACAACGGCCAGAACGAAGGACGCCCGTAACAGCCAAAAACAAAGAACCAGAGCAAGGGATGCTCGTAACGGCCAAAACAAGGAAAACCCCATAGCGGCCCCACAACGGCCAGAAAAACGTCAAAACCATGGAATCTACTCTCCCTCACTTCGTCTACATCTCATCTCAGAGAGTGTGGAACTCCTGATGGAGTATATGTGCCTGGACCCCAGGACCCACATACTCAGAAGAATAAGAGGCACAGTTGTCACCCAGTGGGGCCTCCGTCGGTCAAATGCACCCCCATCGGCCAGAAAGATATCAACTCAGAACATGATCCGGAAGCCAGGAGAACCGGATGTCCCCGTCGGCCATGGCCGCGGCCACAAAAGACTCCCAGAACCGAATTTCGTACTTAGTTATTTCTACACATCTTGTACTCAGCCCAATAGTGGTCCAATTGTAAATGGGCCTCCCAAGCCCAAGACTTGGAAGCTCAGCCCTAATTTCCTCTATAAATACTCCTCTTGGGGGTAGTTGTAGGGGGTTCACAAATCATTAATACAAAGCAATTACAGCACTTCTCTCTCTAGCTCTCACTTCTCTCTAGGAGTTAATACTCCATCAATAATAGTAATATAATGACAATAATAATAAAACAATAATAATGATTTTTCATCCTTCTAAACCTATTATTTTATATGCTCAGTAATAGCAACAACAACAACAATCAAGCCTTACATTGTATAAATAGCATTACATGGTAAAAAATTGCTTTACAAAATATGTGTAAGCGAAGATTATAAATGTATCTATATAATTGAACGATGAGCTCAATTTTTTATATATCACTAAAATAAAAACTAAAATAATGACACATTTACTATATTAGTAAAGTTTAGTCACTATAATTATGTTTGACTTTGTATTATATGAAGTCATAGTCATAATATGCTTAGTCATATTTGTGTTCAAAAATTTTATTCCTGTAAAATTATAAGAAAATTCTTCTTTTTATGGATTGTGTCTGTAAGGAGGCACATCATAGTACCATGTCTTTTCCTTTAACTTAAGTTGAATCTTTTTCTTTAAAATTGGCAATTTTTAGTTAGATGAATTATAACGATTTTATAAAATTCATTAATTTGTATATCCTGATAGTAATTCTTAAGAATTTGAAAGCAACAATGAATAGTTCGAGTACAATACTGATTCATCGTGTAATTCTTTCTCTTCCATTTTACAAACATTAAATGGTCACGTGGAATCAACTTCATACGTGATTGATTGTCATCAAATAGATTCAATTGTACATTACATATATGATTGTCATCAAATTGATTATTTTCCAATCTGGATGGGAATGGTATGATCAATGATAAGTATACATCTTTAAAGAGTCACTTTTTCTACTAATATTATGAAAATGTAATACTTTTTACATATTAATATTAGGTGTTTGATAATGTGAAAATTTTGATTTTTAAAACTATACTATCAATTAATGTTTTTGCTTATTGGGTGTTTACAAAAGTATGACCAGTAACATTTTTAGCGTTCCTCAATTGCTTGGATCCTTTGTAATTATATTATATAAACACAAATACGTAACAAAATATTTATGTATCTATTGACAAATATTTTTGTTAGTAAGAAGTAATCCAACTTTGTCGAACTTTGTGCTCTAAAAAATTCACCGCAAATTTTTAACAGATGTAAATGCAAGTTGGTCAAACTATTCATTAGATTCCCACTGTCATCTAATGACATAGTTAAACATATAACATATACATTCCGTGTAACACACGAATAAAGAATCTAGTGCAAATAAAAATAGTCTAAGTCGTGTTGACTTGGCAAGAGAGAGAAATGAGCAAAGTCCACCATGAGGTCCATTTTGAGACCCTCCGTCTCACCTTCCCTCTCAACCTCGTGAGTAATTATTTAAGGGAAACCGGAAACATAATAAAAATACCCCAAACTTTGAAGCGTGTGAGGTAAACACCCCAAACTTGCATATGTAATTCAAATACCCCAAATTTTATTTAAAAAGTTATTTTTGCAACATCGTCATGTATTATTTCTTTCAAAATGTAAATTTATGGGGTTAATAGCATAATTTAAAATAGCAAATTAAAAGTGTTGCAATTATATAGATTGGGGGTAACATTATATACTGCGCAATGGAAGTTTGCGCAATGTTGATTGTGTCTTCATGAATTCTAAAATATTTTAAATTATGCAATTAACACTATAAATTTACATTTTTGAAAAAAATAAACTAACTATGGTGCCAAAATAACTTTTTATACAAAATTTGGAGTATTTAAATTATACTCGGTATATGCAAGTTTGAGGTGCTCATCTCACACCCCTTCAAAGTTTGAGGTATTTTAATTATTTTTCCCATTACTTAATCATTGCTTTAGTTTTTCACATTGATGTCTTTTGCATTGGAGCATGGAAAGGATGGACCCTCTTCAATTTATTTATTTTGGCCCACATACTCAATGGACCCTTTTGATTTGTATGACACCTAAGCACCAATGCACCAAAAGCATTGGAGGTGCTCTAATAGAGGTCAGCCAAAAGCTGCTGCCTCTGTGATAAGAACCAGTGAATTTTTCCCTGATTAAGATATTTGATGCCTCATAATAACGTTGAGATCCATTTTTAGGCAGCTCTGTCTCGTATTATACTATTATTCAGCAAATGTAAGAGGTTTTCTTTAAGAAGACCGCTGCCATGTTAATTGTTAAAGCAGAATTCAGAGATGTTTTTTATAAGATTCAGGAGATTCATTGTATTAGATGTGCATACAAACCAGAAGGATCGGTGGCTTATATCTCAGTAATCATGGACCTGAGCATGGACACAATACTTCTTTTAGCACACTTTCATTGTGCTAAAAGCCAGAGATATGAAGCAGAAGCATGGTTATATCTCAGTAATCATGGACCAGAGCGTGACCAGTATGTAACCGGTCCAAGTTGATCTGGACCAACAAATCTTATTCGGACCGTTTTTCCGGTCTAGAAGGGAATGTGCTCAGCCCTATTTGGATATAATGTTTGTGCAGAAAAGTTGAAATACATATTACAATACGGAGTATTAGGATGTTTTTACTTGGACTGTAATTTGCTGGTCTGATCTGGTCTGGTCTGATCTAGTCTGGCCTGATCTGGTCTGGTTTCTTTGTATTTTTATAATTATCCAAGTCTGGTCTGGACTGGTCTGAACTGGTCTGGGACGAATTACAGTCCAAGTAAAAACATCCTTATATGTAGTACTACTTTGTATTACACTTTGTTCGTTTTTTAGATGTCTAACTCAGCATTGCCTCCACTTTTGATCATAGTAGACTAGTACAGTATATGTAATACGGAGTACAGTTTAACATACGAAAAACTTGAAAATGCGAAGAGAATAAGAGATATCTCAACCAAAAAAGAAAATGATAACTCCTCAAATTAATAAAATAGATATTTATTTCTTATAGTAAGTATTCTAACTTGTACAAAAATTCATTCTGAATTTTCTTTTGTAAAATCCACGAGCAAATTCCTCAAATGACGCATGGAACTGCAACATGTCTAAAATCATGTTAGTAAATGCAATGGCTGAAGACAACAAATCCCCTTTCAGCTCTTGTGTTGAGTTCCTTTCCCTATTTTCTTCATCAGCTATAGCCAACAATGGGCCTGACGTTTATTGCTTGGCGCAAAAGTACTACCTGTAGAATGTTGGCTGATGGTGCTTGAGCTTCAACAATTTCTAGGAAGTGAACACCATCAAACGACCACACCGTTTGATTTATGATTCAGGTCCAAATGATATTCATCTGTCTTGTCCAGATTCTCCACATAATCTCCACATGCAGTGAGAACAATTGACCGGGTGTAATCATCCACTGCAATACTTTCAGTTTGCATTTTATATAAGAGCTTCAAGGCCTCCCGGCAGAATCCATGTTTTGCATAGGCAATTATCATTGCCTTCCAAGTAACCAAGTTCATCTGTGGCATGCTCTCAAAAACTTGAATAGCCGCAGGAAGATGGCCACATTTTGCGTACATGTTGATTAGCGCACTTCCTACAAACTCATTTGAAAGTGAAGGCGCCTTGTTTATGGACGAGTGTATTATTTTCCCTCCCACAACGTCTTCTAGTTTTGCACAGGCTTTTAGGGCTGATGCATAGGTAAAATGGTTTGGCACTACTCCTTCACCCAACATCTTCTTCAAGTATTCAAGAGCCTCATGCTCATGTCCTATACGTGCACATCCAGAAATCATTGATGTCCACGAAACTACATCTCTAAACGGCATGTACTGGAGGACCTTACGTGCCATATAATTTTCACCACATTTACAATAAAACCAAATCAGGGAACTCCCGATAGGAATGTCGCTCCAAAGAAAACTCTTGATGATTTGAGCATGCATTTCTTTTCCGGTTGGTAGAGCCCTAAGTAAGCCACAAGCTCTTAGAACACTAACCATGGTCAAATTATTAGCTAAGCATTTCCTCTTTGTCATCATCTGAAAGAGAATTATGGCCTCTTCAGCTAGCCTATTACGAGCATATCCCGCTATAATAGACGTCCATGTGACCGTGTTGCTCTTCCTCATCCCATCAAATATCTTCCTAGCATTTGCAATATCTCCACACTTAGCAAACATATCTACAATTGATGTCCCAACAAAGACATCCATCTCATATGTCCTTTTAACAACTGCTGCTAGAAGTTGAGTCCCAAATCTCAAATCTTTCTCATCCCCACAAGCATTGAAAACACTACATACTGTGAACTTATTTGCATCAAAAAATCCATCAGAAACCATTTCTGAGAACGTGAAAAGAGCCTTCTTTCCTTGCCCATGCTGTGAACAAGCCGTTATCAAAGTAGTCCAAGAAACTATATCATGCTCTTTCATCTTATCAAAGATTTGAACAGCACTCTCTAAATCCCCACATTGTGAGTAAAGATGAAGAGTAGCAGTCTCTAAAATCAAGCCATTAAATCCATTCTTTAGGACACAAGCATGTACTTGCTTCCCTAGCTCTAAGTGAAACGTTCTAGCAAACATATTAAGTACACACACGGATGTCTTCAAATTCAATTTGAAGTCCTCGTGGACAAACTCTGCAAATAATCTCATTGCTTCGGTGTACAATCCACATCTCATGTACCCATTGATCATAGCAGTCCAAGAAACAAGGTTTCTCTCAAGCATATTGTCGAACACCCTCTGAGCCTCTTTCAAGGATCCAAGTTTAACATACATACTAATCAGATTATTCTCAGCATAGAAGCTTGAAGATGTAGCACACTTGACAGCTACCGCATGCACCTTTCTAACTTCTTTTACATTACAACAAGACTGAATCATGTTTCCAAGTACATTGGCCAGTTCCAACTGATTAGTTGCTAAAATATTAAAAGAAGAAGCATTTTCTACATACAAGTACCTCAGCTGACTAGGTGACAGTATCTCCGGAGAAGAGCATTTAGTGTCGACAAACGGGGCCGCGGGTTTAACAGAACAGATGGAATCGATAACGAAAGATGGTTCTCTGAGCGACGAAGAGCGCAAGTCTTGACCGTGAGTACAGATTTTGCAACCGCGAGTTCTTGGTTCTTGAATGTGCTTTCTGTGTCGTGGAGATACGAGTGGATGGTGGTTAACAAAGAAAGCAGATGGGAGAGATTGATAAAATGCGGCATTGAGTGAGTAAAATGCTGGCGAGAACATCTTGATTTGCAGGAAGAAGCAGAGAATTTAAAGTTAATATTCATGAAACTGAGACCAGTAGACCAGAGAGTGAAAAGAAGAGAGTTGAAGAGTGTCCTCAGTGTACAACTTCACTATGATGGATTCCTTAAAATCAAATAATCAATCCATAAGACACATATCGCCAATGGAGCCGGGGCCAAAGGGGGACCAGATTTGTCAAAATAGGGCACACTAATAGTGAGATTCTTGACTGGAAGCGGAGCACTTATTTTACTCTAAGTACTAGTAGTGAAATTACTGACCGAAAGCGGAGCACTTACCCCCTAGGCCCCTCCCTAGGTCCTCCACTGGCCGGGGCTATGGATGAGGGTTGTCTTAAAATGAGGAGTGTCGGTTTCAATCAATTCGATTTTTGAAAAGGTGAAATCAAAAACTGCAATTTAAGTAGTTCCCGTTTGGTTAATTTCCATCTTTTTTTTCATTTGTTTTTGGTTAATTTCCATCAGTTTGTATGGATTTCAGTCGATGTTAACACGTTTTTGTTGGTTTTTTGTCGATGAATTTCGATTTGGTCGACTTTTAACTCAAAAGTTTAAACAGTATACCGAACACCGATGTGTTACTAAGTTTCAATTTCATCCCGTTCAATTTTGGTCGGTTTGCTGGTCTGTTTCGATTTTTCATTTTTTGTCCACCTCTACTTAAAATAGTACTAGAATTATGTTATTCCTTAACTCAACGAGTGTATGCGTCATCAAAGTAACATAAAATTAAAAGTAAATTACTTATCCATCTCATTGTTTTCTTCTAACTTTCTTTTGTTGGGATGTTTAAAAATGTAGTATCTCATTTTCCTTGCAAAAATGAATTATATGACTAACTTTGTTTTCACTTTTTATACACCGCTCACATCATAATCATATATTTTTACTTTGTTGGTAAGCATGTTAAGCAAAGTAAGAAGACAATTTTGGATTGAAAATAGTATACTCCTCCGTTCCATAAAAATTGCAACATTGGAATTTATGCACTATTCACACACCTTACTTTGACTACGATTTTCTAATAATATATATAATAAAAATATTATGCATAAAATATTAATAAATTTGTATTCATGTAAATTTCTAATATATTAGCTTTTTTAATGTTTACTAATACGTAAATAAATATAATTATAGTCAAAGTTGTGCGTTGGCAAATGTGAAATTCAAAATGTTGCAACTTTTATGGAACGGAGAATAGTATTTTGATATATTATCCACACATTCTACATTTTTCCTATCCCAATACTTTAGGAGATAACTGTCAATTTATATCAAATTCTTCCCTATCTACAAAGGATGCCACACAAGTTCCTGTAGCTATGTACCAATAACAAATGCTGCCTCACATTTTACACCGCACGAGACTTCTTTAAGTTGCAACTTGCAACACTCCAACCACATCTATTCCCATTGGAATCATACACCGATATATTTATATGTACCCAAATCTAGCAATTCAATAATTTAGCTCTAGATTTGTTTACCAATAAAAAAACAAATAAGTATAATTTCTTGGCTTTTAGTTAGATTCGATTGAAAATAACTCTGAATTAATCTATGGATAAAGATCTCAATTGAAAGAAAAAAGTTGTAAGAGAAAAAAAAAGGAGAAATAAACTAGATGAAGGAATGAGAAAAAAGATTTTCTACGGGTTTCGGGCAGAAAAAAGCAGCGGAATAAACAAAAAAAAATATTGCCCAAAAGTAAACAACTGCATCTGAGATTCTTACTATAAACGAAATTACAGAATATAAGAAGGTTTTACATAGAAACCTTAAGCAAGGATGTCAGACAGTCCGAGAAAACGATCCTGATCTCTGCTGATATCCACACACACATGACTAGATCGGCCACAGGGAACGTGCTAGCATTCTCTTCTTTCTATCTCTCTCTAGGTTTTGAGACGTGAATTTTAACTCTTAAAATTTGTGGGTCTCCTTAGCCCTATTTATAAGAGGGGGAAAGAAGGAGTTTTATAGCTAATAAAACTTTCTTGGAGGCCCTAGCCCAATACCATTCGAAAATCTCTTTCGAATTGGACTAATCAGGCTATTTTAATGTTATTAACGAACATTAATGATCCAAATTACTTAGGTGTGTGACCCTGTAGTTTTATATATTGTTGGCAGTGGGCTATAAAATTAATTCAAACCTCACAAATCATAAGCGGCCTCTAGCAAGACATTATGACTATCCAAAATATATAAATGTCAATTAAATCTGACATAACATTTTAATGATTAATGTGTGCTAATAATTCTCTTTTGTCAAATGATATCTTAATTGAGACAAGGTTAGATCGTGTCATCCTTGTTATTCTCAATTAATATTTCTTGATTACCAAGTAAGATTAATCTTGAACAAATGACACCTTATTTGAGCATGACCATGCTAATTAATCTTATTTGTCAAGGGGCCCAATAGATATCTTTCTCTCGCTATACGAGAGTGACAAAAACTATCTTGATAATTCACATACTATTACATGGTTCATGATATGTACCATCACCACCTTTATAATTATCCATTTAAAAATAATATTTAATGGTGTTAATACATATGCAAGTAACCATGATTATCTCAAGTATAAGAATATAGCACCTCATCATTATTGAGGATGATGAAACGGTTAGCAACACAAGAGGGGGGTGAATTGTGTGTGTGTGGAACTGTGGCAGTTTTTCGCACAGTTCTAGTGTGGGGTCCAGGGAATTACGAAATAGTAAAGTGCACAAGGATTTAACGAGGAAAATCTCTTGGCTCAAAGGGATTAAAAAACCTCGACCTCCCTCGGAGGAATTTGAACAACTCCACTAAAAAGCCTTTGAATGATTACAAGGGAAACTCTCCTAGTCTACCCTTGAGCCACCCCAACTCTATCCTCTCTAGGAAGAGTTATGCATCTCTACCTTGCGGGTAGAGAGCCTCTCAGCTTTACAACAAAGCTCTCACAACACACTAACCAACCCGAGGATGCTACACTTAGCCAATCCTCAAAAACCCAATTACAATATGAAGAAGGGAAAAAGAAACTCTGTCTGGAACTCCGTGAGCAGGTTCAGGTGCCTTGGACTTAGTGAATATTATCGTGTATATTTCTCAATAGAAGCTCGGTCAAGCACATGCCTTTCGTCTGATCTTCAGTCCAATATATATAGCATCCGTAGCCTCTCCTTTTCTTGGTTGAATATTTGGACTTTCCTTGATGTTATTTAAAAACCTTTCCTTTTATTCAAAGATCTTCGGGCTCTCCAATATGGTGATCCTCGGTCAACCATATATATATATGGAAGCAAGTGGATACGTGCATACTATGAGTAAATCACGACATAACAAAAAAGATATGGAGTATATTACGTATTTAAATATTCAATGATAATTCCACATGAATATATATCATCACATATAAAGGGAAATAATTTATTCTCTTAATATAAGCATGCAACGGACGTTAGTAGCAATAAAATATTTATGCAATCAATGATTAGTTCTCTTAACAAATTTGAATATGCAACGATCATATAAGTAAGATATTCAAATAAGTTGCTACAGATCATGCAAGCCAAGATACTTTCCAAAAATATTCATTTAATATTTTAACTAATAATGACTTTTCAAATTGTAAGGCAATAAAATATTTGTTAATCAATTACAAGCATGCTACGTATATAGCCAATAAAATATGGATCATGCACTCACATTAAGTAAAGATACTTTCCATAAAGTATTTAAACAATATTTAATGAGTGGATGTCTAGTCAACTATGGAAAGATAATAACCACCCAAATAAGTACTCATATAACCAAAATACGTATATATAGAGTGGACATGCATAGAAAAATACTTTTACTTAAAATAATATTCTTGACAAATATAAGCACTCATATAAGGAAAGTATATTAATTGAAAATCAAGTAGGTGCAATTAATATTAATTCAAATCATATCACGGAACTAGAAATGGTTCTGCATTAGTTCCACCTGCATGGTTAGTCAACAACACACTAATAATACCCATTTGGTCTTGAGGATAATTCTGTCCTTGTTCCGTAAGGAACTGTGAGCGGTTCTGTCCGCGGTTCCACCTGCATGGTTAGTCATCAACAAAACAACATACTCAACAAATTCCCCCTTTTTGTTGATGACAAACATTAGGTGCCATAATAAAGGTTTCCCTGCAGATTAGTAACAATCAATCATAAATAGTAGATCATCAACACATAAAGAGGCACCTGATTTTTCCCCCTTTTGTCATCCAACAAAAGGAACCAAAATAATGCCCAAATCAAAACACTGATTTGTTCCCCCTTAGAACAGGCCGGTGAGGGAGGAAGTTTCTTTGCGATACGCAGAAGCAAAAGAGATTGAGCAAGTTAATTAGTTTAGGAATTAATTAGACCAAGTTCAAGTCTAATTAGTTCAAACCTTTCTCTTCCCAGAGGCTTGGTAAAAATATCAGCTATTTGTTTCTCGGTGTTGCAATATTCCAGCCTGATTATCCCCTTTTCCACGCAATCTCTCAGAAAGTGATGTCGTATATGAATATGTTTTGTCCGAGAATGCATGACCGGATCCTTTGATATGCTAATTGCACTTGTGTTATCACATAGGATGGGTGTGCACTTTAAATTAACCTTGTAATCGCTTACTTGTTGCATGATCCACAATGATTGAGAGCAACAAGATGCGGCTGCTACGTACTCAGCTTCGGCCGTTGAAAGAGCAACTGAATTTTGTTTCTTAGAGCTCCATGAAACTAGACAGGGACCAAGGAAGTGAGCCGTTCCAGACGTGCTTTTTCTATTTAGTAAATCACCTGCAAAATCAGAGTCTGAATATGCAATAAGGTTAAAATCTTCATTACGTGGATACCATAAGCATAGATTCGAAGTTCCTTTGAGATATTTGAGGATCCTTTTAACCGCTTTGAGATGTGACTCCTTAGGATTTGCCTGGAACCGAGTGCATAGACCTACACTGAAAACTATGTCGAGTCTACTGGCAGTTAGGTATAGTAGAGACCCAATCATGCCTCTATACTTCTTTTGGTCCACGCTTATTCCCTGTTCGTCTGCATCCAATCGTTCATTTGTTCCCATAGGTGTCATCATTGTTTTGCCTTCATTTGCTCCATACTTCTTGAGGA